AGTCGGGGGTTGCATCATTTTGAAAGAATAGGGACTCGACAAGTTGGTGGACCAACTCGGCGAGTCAAGTCAACTGGATGTTGACTTTGACTAGGGTTTGACCATGACTTTGACTTGGATTTGGATTGACCCTTGTAAGGGTTATGATTATGAAATAGTAATCGGAAAAGGTCATTGTGTAGGGATTGGGGAGTAGAGACGAGCTGATTCCCGTGCCGAGGACCGTGCAGATACTATACGACATTGAGGTGAGTTACCTTCCAGTAGCGGTGGGTCTAAGGCCACAATGCCGGCCCACCAGTAGGAGTGTATGTCGGATAATTGTCTTTGTGATAATTGTATGTGTTTACTGCTACTTGATATGTTTATGTGTTAGCATGATATGATGTTACGTGATCATAGCAGTAGGGGGAGATAGTTCCCAAGTTACCGGTCGATAGGGCCGAAGGGGTAGTTTAGTACCCAGCTATGCTAGACAGATTATGATTATGTGATAATACGTGGTATACCGGTCGAGAGGACCGAAGGGGTAGGCCAACACCTAGATATGCTAGGCAAGGTCACCGGTCGAGAGGACCGAAGGGGTAGGCTAGCACCCAGATATGCTAGGCAAGGTTACCGGCGAGAGAACTGAAGGGGTAGGTCGGGCACCCAGATATGACTGGCAGTATGTATTTCATGTGTTTGTTTGGTGTGTGGTATCAGTTTTGTTTCAGGTACCTCTTCAGCGAAGGGGAGGGAGCCAGCGCGGTAGCTGCACATCATATTCACACAGGATTCCGCATTTTGAGATCTATGGGATTGTACTCTGATTTTATTACTATTTTCATGATATGATTTTGAGACATGAGATGATGGTTTTATAAAAAGAAACGACTCAATTATGTTTACTTATAAATGTTTCCTAAATTGTTATATCAAAAATGAAAATTTTGGTCTTGAAAATTTTGGATGTTACAAGTTGGTATCAGAGCCTTAGTTTGAGGGATTCGGATACACTCTCGGGTGTGTCTGAACTCAAAATGAGGACTTGGTATGAACTTTTTCAAAAGGAAAATAATTTTTATGAAAAAGAAGTTGAAAAGAGAAAAGAACTTTGAAAAAGAACAAGATGTGTGATGTGCGCGACCGGCCGAGCTCAAGTAAGTTTTTCCCAAGATACCCATACATGTGATGTTATGATATGATATGATTATGAGAACTGCATGCAAGAATAGGGCTAAGGATCTAGGAAGGATGTCTTATATGCCTACTGTATATATATGAGAACTGCGTGCTAGAATAGGGCTAGAGGAGCTAGGAAGATGCCTGATATGCCTGCTATATGTGTTTATTGAGCTTGAAGATAATATTGATTAGTCAGTTATATGATAGCTTGGATAGAGTATGTCGGATTGTGTTACTCAATGCCTAAATGTTGTTGCTTCGTGCTTCGGGAGTCCTAGTTATCTTTAGCTAACTAGTAAACGGATACGATAAGTTATGTCACATCCCAGAACCGGAACGACAGAAACGTCCTGGGGTGGAGGACGTCATGCGTAGTATCACAACATTTGTATCATAGCAAGCATAGTAAACACAACCATACATTGAATACATATAATAAAAAGGTTTACATTGTTTAATACATAGTTTTGTTCCTATCAAAGGTAAAATAGAAAGACGTGACTCTAACACTCCGACTTCTCCGAACTCCTGGAAGTACATGTCTACTAATTCCCTGAGAATACAAGCAGTTTGAAAGTCAGCATAAAGCTGGTGAGTTCATAAGCATTTAGTTTTGAAAAAAATATTCTTTGATCCTTTTTGAAAGTGTTCCTCAAGAAAATTCGATATTTTCTTATGAAAAGCGTGTTTGAAAAACCCGTTCCTTCCACGACTTCCAGATTCATACAAGGTATGTACAATCCATGGTGGCGTGGAATGAATGTGAATATCCGTGAGTTACGTGTTAACAATTCGTTTTGAAAAGTCGAGTTATCCCGGGAAAATCTGATATCTTCCCCAAAAGTTGATGGTGGTTATCCGTTCTGAACTGAGGTGTGCAAGTATCTACCATACTTATATCGATAAACATAGTTTTCTTTTAAAAACCCTGGTTACTCCCAGTGAGGTATATTAGCCTTATTACATAAATAAAACTAAATAAAATAAAATGTGATGAACTAAATCCTGAGGGTATTATTAATACCCTCTAGTAATTAAATCGATTATTACTTTGAGATTAGTTCACTTGATTTATTATTACCAAGTAAATTCGTGTTAGCCACGTTGCGAGTGTCATGACCATAACTGACTAGATATGGCACGTATCGGGGCCGGTATCCTTTATGACTTTGTCACCCGTAGACCTGCCGCTCCTACTGTAGCTAGCAGTAAGGTGCGGGATTGTCAGTCACATATAGATCTATACACAACAGTCACGCTCTCCCTACAAGAGACTCTGGTCACGAGTACTATTCCTCCACTCTGTTTTCGGTGGTTAGTGTTACTGAGGACTTGTCTCCAACTAGGCTAACAAATTCACAAGTAATAATACTGAAAACCCTTTTTGTGAATAACATGAATCCTTTATAAAATAATACATCAAGTGCTAGTCCTACACTCTGATTCTGTGGGAGTGTTACCAAGGACGTGTCACCAACTCAGACTAACAAACTTACAAGTAATAATACTGAAAATCCTTTTATGATAAACATGAATCCTTTATAAAATGATACATTTTACTATATGATTCAAAAGTTTGCTACCCTGGTTTGGAAAACTGTTTCTACGTGTTGATTCCTTAATCGGTTGGTAAAACTGTTTACCTTGTTAAAAGCATACTGAGAATATAATTATTTTAAACAAAATAACATATTTTGAGCACAAGTTTCCTTATGCTTTTGCTTGTATCCCCCTGAAAACGTTAAAAACATGGAAAATGTAGGGGTATGAACTCACCTCAGGCGATTCGAATGAAGGATCGATACGGAATGCGGGATGTTCAAGTGAAGCCTTGAACACAATTTGATCCTAATTAACAAGTAATGACACATAAAGGAGTGTATGGCCTGATTTCGCTACTATACGACTTGCTGGCTCATTCCTAATCTCGACCTTGGTTGTACTCAAGCTTAGAACATTTAAATGAACCCTTAATCAGTTCTAGAAGTTAACAGAAACGAGTTTAACATAGATTAACTGACTAGATATACCAGGTAGAAGTTTCAGGTTGTCACATGATAAGTCACGAAAGCAAAGTACAAAAGTAAAGCACAAAGACTTTGAGATGCATCATCGGGGTTACCTCCCCCTTCATCCGGCTTCATTATCCTAATAATACATCTATTTTTTGAAAGGTCAACATAATGTTAGTGAGTCCACATAATTTTATCATTATAAAACATTGTGTGGATATTTTAGTTATCGTGTTTATCCTAAACTCACTTCCTCGAGTTTGTGTGTACTATCACTACTTTCTTAGGTTGGTTCCTAGTAGTAGTCTAAGATAGTTAGTTTTAGTTTAACAAAGTTATGATGAGTTCCTATAATCGATCTATGACTGTTGACCCGAAAACCACGACGCTTTATCGGACGTCGCAAATGTGTTTAGAAACTTATGCCTGCTTTGAGTTGTCGTTAGGTTGTAGCTAGCAACCACAAGTGGGAGTGTCAATACCGTATACATCTATACATATCTCTCCTGCTCACATAAGATTTAACGATTATAGGTTGGGAGCTAGCTGAAAATCTTTCAGCGTGCTGATGAATCATGTCTCATCTAACTCTTGTTGTGGGGCCCTCCCCTGGTCGGTCGTGTTTTTTATCTCGTTGTGTTCATACGTGTTTACTTATTATATATATATATATATATATATATATATATATATATATATATAAAGTGTGTTTTGCGTAGCCGAGTATTTGGGTAGAGTAACCACTTGATACTAAGCTTATCCAAAGGGTGGCTATAATAATGACTAGAGTATCAACGTTTCTTGGAAACTGGCCAACGTAACAACTAGGTATGATCTTATCTATCATTATGATTCAGAATAACAAATAGGCATAATATTAGCTAAAATTTTAGGCAGAGTATCTATCGGGCATAATATTATCCTAATGTTACGAGGATAATTATCTAACTACAATTAGTAATTACTATGTATAGGTGCATTTTAACATGTATCCCCCCCAATGGTTTGGAAAATGGGGCCGTGAACTCACCTGTGAGTTATGAAAACGTTGAGGTAGGGTAGAAACCGAAAGTCAGCACTTCGAGAGGCGACCGGAGCTGTGACACAAGGCTCGATGCAGAGAGAGAACGAGTGTGAGGGGTGAGGAAAAGTGATTTGCCAAAGCTTCTATTTTCAGCAAGTTTTGGAATGCGGATCGCGCATTGCACACTGCACTTTTACGCGTGACGACAGGTGGCTTCCATGTGTCGTCATCTCCTTGTGCCACGTTATCCCTTATCAAGGCGGATCAACTGTCAGAATGTACACGGCATACTGCGCGCGAGCGCGCATGATGGTAAAAATCCAACTTTGAAATTCTGTAACGCTCGCATACGATTTCCATTTTCAATGACTCTTATACATCCGTGTAGGTCTCGTCATCCTCTACAACTTTCCTTTTGGTCATTTTGGCTAGTTTTAACCTTCGTTTTTCGACTACTTTTTCTTAGTGAATAATGTACTTCTCACTCCTTATCTATGAGTCCACTAAAAAATGGTGTGGCTACTATAAAATGTTCTATGAAGGCCCATTTTGTAGTAAGGAATATAAAACAAAATAACAACATTGCATAGGAGAGAAACAATCTATGGCAAAACACATTTTGAAGTTGCAACACCATTGCTTAGTGGGACAAGAAAAGAATGTTGTAATCAATGCAAAATGCATTTTAAGGGCCTATTTTGCAACGGGGATGTAAAAACATGAAAACAACATTGTATGTTGGAAAACGAAATCCTACAAAGCCAAAAACGCATTTTAAAGTGGCCACACAATTCTCAATGGGTCAACAGAGAAATGATATGGCCATTGAGAAATACTTTTTAAGGGACTATTTCACGGTTGGGAATGTAAGAGGTAAAAAATGACATCATATTAGAACAAAAATGACATTGTATAGAGGCAAATAAGGCAAAACACATTTGAGCAGGTCTACTAAGAAATAATATGGCCAATGCAAAATGCATTTTTAAGGGTATATTTTTGACCATTTCGCATGACCCATGCACGATGCCAAAACGTCGTCGTCTTAATGTTTCATCCCATCGCGTCCATGTGAAATGCTCAAAAAATAAATGGTTACGTCCGAAAATTTTCTTGAGTATTGATTATTTTATGTAAAATGCTCAAAAAATAGACTGATTTAATCTTTTATTTTATAAATAAAATTTAAAGATTATAAAATTAAAAGTTTCTTAGAAGACAAATTAGTAACTTTATACACATATTTGACGGCATTTAACGGCGTCAATGAGAAGCACTTAACTTAAAAAGTCATAATGAGAAGGATTATAAAAGCAAAAATATCTTTCAGGACACAGACGATGATTTTCGTATACGCACAACAGAATTACTCTTGTTTATATTTGTGAGGGTGCAAACTGCAAAGTTTTCGATTTTATGTTCAGAGGGCACAAATTGTTCTGTTTATGTTTCTTAGGGTAAAAATGTAAATTGTAGAAACGACGGCCGATTTTAATAATTGGAGTATTTCCTCATATAGCCATTTCAGCTTTTCATTCTAAAAATGATTTCCCTCCCCCTTTTCTTCCCTCCATCCGCCGGCCCGCCGCGAAACCTCTAAAATTCGGCTACTCAGCAGCGGTGCGCCATCTGCTTCCTGCTTCTGATTTGATACGCATTTTATAAATTCGTATACAGACAATTTTGTTGACAAATCCGTTCTTAAGTGCCGAAGATATTTAAGTAGCACTTCGAAATTTCAGTCTACAGCTCCTCTGTAAGTCTTCTTCTAATCTTATTTGATCGATTTTTGTTAATTGGTTAATTCGAAATGATGTTTTTGGTTTGCTTGGGTACTATAATCTATTCTTTTACTTTGGATTTTGATGCATTGCGAATTTACTGTTCTACAATATTGTAAGCTTAATTTTTTACCTTGGAAGTTCGTGATTAATATTCGTAACTTTTAGATGTTACCTAAATTATAAATTCCCAATTTTGTCGTTACGTTAATCAAATCATATTCCATGGACAAGAATTTGTAATTGTAATTTGGGGTTTTTTTTATTCGTGCTAATTTAATCTCTTTTCATGCGCAAGTGAAGCAATAATGGTTTATGATCAGATTGTTTGTCGTTTAGTCTATGCAGTCAGACCCTTTTGAAACTTTACTGATTCTAGTATCACCTTCCTTTTTTTAGATCCTTCGATGTTCAAGATTGATTTGATAATACTAAATGTAAAAGATCATCCTCATTTGGAGTTGGTATGGTTCTTTTTCTGTTAAATTTGTTGGTTCTTGAGTATTACTTAATAGGAAAATGTCGCAAAGAAAATGAGGAAAGTTTTGCATATCTTGTAACTTTCATATCACGTAATATACTTGTATTTGTTTTTCCTCAGGTGGGATTTTAACAATGGATCTAATGTTTCATCACTCTGGGTCTACACCATCTGATGAATCAGCCTTGGATTTGGAAAGAGTTTACTGTGAGCACCACCACCTGAATCTGGCTTCACCAAGTCCACCTTTACAATCTTTCGCCACTACATCAGCTGGTCAACTCTCTGAAACCAATGCTGCATACTTTTCATGGCCTACTTCTAGCCGATTAAATGATGCTGCTGAAGATAGAGCTAATTACTTTGGAAATCTTTTAAAGGGTGTTTTGCCTGAAACTCTTGGTCGATTGCCAACTGGACAACGTGCTACTACATTGCTTGAACTTATGACAATCAGGGCTTTTCATAGCAAAATCTTGCGCAGATGTAGCCTTGGAACTGCAATTGGGTTCCGTATTAGGCGCGGATTACTCACAGATATTCCTGCCATTCTTGTGTTTGTAGCTCGCAAGGTTCACAGACAGTGGCTCAGCCACATCCAGTGTCTACCCTCTGCTCTTGAGGTTAAGTTTCTAGTATCTATAATCATATTGACAAAAAAGTGATGAGTTTATATCAACTTGTCCCACATGGATAGATATAAGTTGTTATAAGTTGAGATATAAGTTTCTAGTATCTATAATCATATTTTGATTTTAAAAGTTGGAAATGTTATAGATTTACTAATTAATAGGTTGAACAGGGACCTGGAGGTGTGTGGTGTGATGTAGATGTTGTTGAATTCTCTTATTATGGAGCACCAGCAGCAACTCCAAAGGAACAGTTGTATTCAGAGCTTGTGGATGGTTTGCGTGGAAGTGATCCCTGCATAGGCTCGGGTTCTCAGGTAGTTTCTTTGACTAAATTAGTGGAAATGAATATTGATTAGTAAGTTGTCAGATTGCACTAAATTTGGTGTAGCATGTTTCACTTTTAACCCTTTTGATTAATCAACTTTTATTGTCTATATCTATCATATTTTGATTAGTGAATATATAAAATAAGAAGTAAAAATAGATTAACATAAAGACATAACGTATGTCATTGTCAAATCATTGAGACCCTTAAAGTGAGCCAAATATGGTATATGATATCTAATTTAACTCTTACATTCATTAATGATTGTTATAAACAAGCTTTCTTGTTATTAAATTTTTTTACAGAACTAAAAAGTAAATATATAACACAGGATATGTTAACGTAAATTATAATAATCTAAAAAGTTGATCATAAATATTATATATACCAAACTTAAGCTACAACAAATTTTAAAAGAAATAAATCACAGCAAAATTAATTGCAACATCGATTAAGAATAAAATTGTCATAGTTGTTCTATGATAATATTTTAAAATGATTTTGTTTCTAATGTTAAGAATGAAATATTTTAATTAACATGAATCATTATGTATAGATTAGTTGATGTAAAAATGTTTCCTGTTAAAATTTAGTGCATACATTGGATGATTTAAATCAGTTCACAACCTTCACAATTTCATCCATTTTTTGGATGATTTGAGTAAGAGCCACTCAGGTCTATTTATTGAAATCCAAAGAGGAAATAACTATTTTTGATGACATATGTATATCATTCAATCTATAAAAACTTTGCATAGTGACAACGCAAAGAATATATTCTTATGGACTTCCAAAAGTTTGTCTGAAAATAGAATATTTGTCTGAATCCTCATGTGCCTATGCACCCTAGCAGCATGACATTGCTGTATGGAAGAAAAAGAATCATATGCTTTTAGTTGATCAAAATTCACAATCTTCTCCATCTAAAATTTATTCAACACTTTAATTTTGTAATAAATAAAGGTTGTTCAACTCTGATAAATAAGAAGGTTTACTTATTGTTGGTTGTTTAGGTTGCAAGCCAAGAGACATATGGAACCTTGGGTGCCATTGTTAAGAGTAGAACTGGAAATCGACAGGTGGGTTTCCTGACAAATCGACATGTGGCAGTTGACTTGGATTATCCAAACCAAAAAATGTTCCATCCTTTGCCACCGAGTCTTGGACCCGGTGTGTACCTTGGGGCTGTTGAGAGGGCAACTTCATTCATCACTGACGATCTTTGGTATGGAATATTTGCTGGGACAAACCCAGGTAATATTTTTTTTTTTTTTTTTTTAATTGAAAGAAATGAAAGTACGTTGCTATAATACATCCACATTTATTGCAGAAACCTTTGTACGAGCAGACGGGGCTTTCATTGCGTTTGCTGAAGACTTAAACATATCAAACGTGACTACATCAGTGAAAGGAATCGGTGAAATTGGTGGTGTTAAAGTCATAGATTTGCAGTCTCCAATCAACAGTATAATTGGAAAACAAGTGGCTAAAGTTGGAAGAAGTTCAGGGTTAACCACAGGGACAATAATGGCGTATGCATTGGAATACAACGATGAAAAAGGAATTTGTTTTTTACAGATTTCTTGGTTGTGGGTGAGAACCAACAAACGTTTGATCTTGAAGGTGATAGCGGAAGTCTCATTCTTTTAACAGGACAAGACGGGGAAAAACCGCGGCCTATTGGAATTATTTGGGGTGGGACCGCCAATCGTGGTCGTTTAAAATTAAAAGTCGGCCAGCCACCAGAGAATTGGACAAGTGGCGTTGATCTTGGACGCCTTCTTGATCTTTTGGAACTTGATCTTATCACAACCAATCAAAGTCTTCAAGGTATGTATGCAAGCATGTTACAATTCTAGGGTTATTTTCAATGATGAGGATGAGGATGAGGAGGGAGGGCATTTACGTCTTTTTTGGTTGGACAAAAAGTTGAAAATTGAAATGCATACGTATAAGACCACCTGTCCAGTCCCCTACATAATAAACTTGCCTTTAGGCTGCGTTTGTTACACAATACAGGACTGGACAAGCTTTCTGGTGCTATTTTCAATCATAAGGATGAGGATAGACGAGAGCAATTCCCTGTCCCATATTTTTTGGTGGGACAAAAATTTGCAATTTTTGTTACTTTGACATCGGTCCCTATGCCAGTCTAATGCATGTCAAACGCAGTACAACCTGTTTTTGATATGAAGATAGGACAAGATTAATTCTAGATGGTTTAGAGAGGTAAATCATTGTTATTAAAAATAGTAAGTAAAAATTGAATTATTTACCTTGTAAAAAAGCTGCATTGCAAGATGAAAGAAATGCATCGGCAGTAGGGATTGATTCGACTGTAGGAGAATCATCTGCTCCTGAACATGAACAGACATCACCAAAAGAGAAGTATGAGCCGCTTCGGATAGATATAAATCTCCAGGAACCTACAAAAGGAGATGAAGGTGGCACAGTGGAACATCAGTTTATATCAAGTTTTTCAGAAACATCTCCATCTCCTCGCAAATATCATACTTTTTCTCCACATGAAGAAATTTCTGTCAGCCTACACTTGGGTGAACCCGAACCCAAGAGACAAAAGCAATCTGACAAATGAACAACTTTTCATATTCAGCTTGTATTGCAATTATCTATTCGTTTCCAATTCATATTTTCATAATTTGGATGCTAAAATGTTATTATAAAAATGTTCGGTGTCATTGTTTTTGTGTACTTCTGTTGTATGTAACCACTCTTGATAGAGTACCGACTATTAGGCCACGTTTGTTCAAAAAACAATATCTACTCGGAGTCATGACAATGAAAAATTGTTATTTTTTGTTATGCTTGTGGATTCATCTCTGGGAAAAGACGTGAATGATCTTTTCATTCTTATTGTCGAAAATATTCCAAACAAAGCTTTGTTGGTGATTTTATTGTCAACAAAAATGTTTTGGGTAATTGAAATTTACACTGACTACTAGTGTGTAAGTGTAGACACAAGAGCCTCTTGAAGCGACCATGAGGGAATATTAATAGGTAGTGCTGAATCATTAAGATCAATAGATAGTGATGTGCTTCCGTAGCTATGCATGATTTTTTTTTTTTTTTTTGAAGCGGCAAATACAAATATATAAATCTACTCCTAATCTAACACCTAATATCACCTATGTCCACAACGGGACTTGAACCCTCGACCTCAAAGAGGGAGGACAGGACACCACCTGGTACCGCTGGGCTAGAAGCCCTTTGGTAGCTATGCATGAATATGTATAGCTATTAATGCAGCCGGTTATTTGGATGTACGAATTTAGCAGACTTCCAAGTTTGTATGTAAAATCGAAGTTGATTAACTCTTTTGTGATACGAGACATATTGGGCTGGAATATAGTTCTAGAAAAGTGTAACAAAATCACATATTTTTATAACTTGTTTAGTCGTGTCCCATGTAATAAACATGACCATATTGATAATCATATTATTGATAACCATGTTGATAACATTGACAATCATTAATACTTGGTATTAGTTTCCGACAAGTTGTTTTTTATAATTTCTATTGTTAATCGACACACTTTGGGAGGTGTTGACTACCAATACCAATGGTGTAATGTTGAAATCAGACAAGAGAAATTTTCCAACATCTTCATTTCTTATATCATTAGAGGATTAAGAAACAGAAGGTTTTCAACATTACACCATTGGTTGAAAATTTAAGATTTGATGGAATGTTGATATGAAATGAAACTCATTTAAATTACATATGATCGCAAGATGTCGTGAAAGGTCTATCTATAATTATACATAGACCATCAACAACAATATGAAATTGTATAAGGATGGATATTCATGGACACAATCCATCAAAAAATGGATATCATAATCGAATTATTTGATAGTAGATAAAAAATGGTTATTATTATTATTATTATTATTTATTTATTTATTTATTTTAATCTTAGATTTTTAGGTATTTCGAGTTTAAACTGAGTTTTTCTTTTTTACCAAGAAAACTTTTATTTTGCCCAATTATCCTATTTCCAAGTATGGTAATACAACTTTTTTTCCGAAAAAAATCCTTATTTTTTTTCCAAAAAAAAAATCACATTTTACAATTTTCTCCTTTGGACCGTTTGATTTTGATTTTGATTTTTTTTACACCATTGTTGTTTTTGTTGGTGGTTATGATGTTCTTGAGGGAGCTTCAATTGTATTTGTGTTTGCTACCATGATTAAGATGGATGTTCCATGAAGTAAATTACATTAATAGTCTATGTGGTTTTTGGTGTAGTCTATGTCTTTGGTCCATATTTTTTTTATGAAACCGGACCATCCCTAATATTTGGTTTGGTTTCGGATTTGGTACCTTCCTTACACAAAATAACTATTTTTCCCTTAATAATATATTTTTATTTTATTATTTCATTTTATTACTAAATATAGTGAATTATAAATATATTGTTTGAACTCTTCCTTTCATAAATAGATGAACTATCTAGTTCCCAACACTAGGTCACCATCTCCGACTACAGTCTGATACAACAAAAATTACCCCATACTCAACACAAAGCTACCTATTGTTCAACCATAATTTTGGAATACATCTAAAATCGAATCTATAACTCAAATCCAAACCAAATCCAATCTTCAATGCAAATCCAAAACCAAAATCCAATCTTTAACTCAAATTGAAAACCAAAATCGAACGTGCAACTCGAATCTAAATCCAAAATTTAACGAGCGAATCAAACTTAAATCCAAAACCAAAATCCCTGATGCAAAGGGTAGGAAAGTAAATTTCATCCAAAACATGCGGGAATTAAATTTCCTTTCAAGTAGAAATGTTGATGATTACCATTTTATCCTTTATATTTTTAACACTACATAAGAAACCCTTCGCCACCACACACCACCGCTACCACCACCACCTTCACCGCCAGCAACTACTAACTAAACATCCCGATGATTAGGTCTTTGGTCCAAACTCCAGGCGTTTGGCATAGAACGTTAGGCGTTCAAACGCCTGGCATTCTATGATGGTCGCCAGGCGTTTGGACGCAGAGACCAAACCCTAACTTTTAGGGTTTGCACCCTATTTAAATAACATTATGACCTCAAAACCCTTCACCACTCCAACCTCCATCCTCATTTCGAAAACCCTAAGTGTGTATGAGAGTTTGAAGCCTTGGTTCATCTTTTTGGTATCATTTAGTGTTCTTGATAAGAGAAGGAAGATCTTTGGAATTTTTTGGTTGCTCTCTAGCTTGTGGATATGGACTCTTAACATCTCGGAGCATCATTTTGAGGTATAAAGTTCAGATCTTGATGTATCATTTGTTAGATCTTGATTTAGGGCTAGTTTATTTTCTTTTTGTTCCCAAAGACTTGATCTTTGTGAGTTTGGAATGCTTCAGAGGTTTGGACTGTCCTTTCAAGCATAATAGTGAGTCTAGAATCACAAAAATGAAATCTTAAGTCTTCATAATCTTCCATGAAAGAGTTTTGGAGCCTTATAATAGATTTTGAGTTATGATCTTGGTGTTTGGGCTCATTGCAGCCATGCATGTCCATAAAGTTTGCAACTTTATGGCTTTAGACGTTTCATTATGATTGGATTTGATGTTTGGACATGAGATCTTAAGCCCTTAAGACATTGGTTTGCAAGTTGGTAATCAGCGAGCAAACGGCAGACGTTTGCATGGGAACGCCCAACGTTCGGACATCAGGCGTCATGGGGTGGAACGCCAGGCGTTCTCAGCAGAAGCCTAATGGATCGATTTTGGGCCTTGGGCCATTACGGGTTTTGGGCTTAGTTTAGTTGGGCTTTTATATAAAGTGCAAAATGGTCTTTTGCCCACATCATGATGAGGAATGGACTAGACCATGGGTGCAAGTTAAACCCTAATTATTGATTGGGTTTGTTTCTGGTTTTGGTTTAGCGTAAGGCGCAGTGTTCACCGCGGATCGAGTGTTGTTTCAGTTATCATCAGTAGAGGTGAGTTTTCCTCACTATACTTACGGGTCGAAGGCACCATGGCCGGCCCTTTGGATTGATATCTTGTTTTACCGTATGTTGCTATGTTGTAGTGATCTGTTAGATCTATATCCTGGTATATAAATATTGTTATGATGTGGTGATATGTTAGATCTGTATCCTGGTATATAAGATGTTGTTATGTCGTAGTGATCTGTTAGATCGGTATCCTGGTATATGGAATGTTAGCATGCGGTAGTGATCTGTAAATATGCCTGTTGTCTGATGCCTGGTTATATGTTTATATGTTATGTGTATGTCGACATGTTGTGGTTGGTGGGGTTGAGGCGGTCCTGCTTTGTGCTGAAGCCCCAAGATACCCAGGGCACTCCGGATAGTTTGTAGGCCCTGCGAGGCGGTCCAGTTAGGCCGAAGATCCAATGAGCGGTCCAGATAGGCTGTAGGCCATGTGAGGCGGTCCAGTCAGGCTGAAGGCTCGGTTATACATGTTGTGTTGGATATGTTGTATGTAGTGGTACTTTGGGGGAACTCACTAAGCTTTGGCTTACGATTTTTAGTTATTGTTTTAGGTACTTCTGATGATCGTGGGAAGGCAAAGGCGTGACCTTACACATTGTCACAACTGGCATTTGAGGTTAGGATTTCTATTCATGAACGAGATAGTTCCTTTTGTAACTATGTAACACTACGATTAAGTGTAAACCAAACTTCAATACTAGATCAGTTATACATCCAAAAACTTGTTTCAAGTCGAAATCTTCTCGTGTAAACTCCAAACTTAACCCATTAAGCTATATTCACTCAAATTTGGGTTTTAACTTCATTTCATGTTCAAGCTTCCTAGAACCATCCAAGTTTCGAAACTCTCTCTAAAGGAACACTCAAGACCGAAAACTCACTTCATTCTCCTTCCAAAAACCGGTCAGACCTCAAGGTGAGCTTCATACCCCCTTGTTTTCGAGTTTTACTATCTTTTGGGGGAGAATACAAGCTATTTTTGTGGTTAATCTTAGTATTATGCATGCATGTGTATATTTTTCATGTATGTTGTGTGAAAATATGTTAAACACTCATAAATACGAAATATCTTCCAAGATTTTGTGATATTAGTAAGCAATCTACTTAAAGTAACTTATTGTGATGTTTTGAAAAGATTAAACATGTTAAAAGTTACTAGAAAACTAAAGAAAGTATACAAAGGATCACTTGACAATAAAGATTGAACAAAATAGGCTTTTAAGTGTCACTTACAGTTTTATTGGGCTTAAATGACAACTCACTGTTTTATGGGCCAAAAGTGTCATTTTTCATAAAAATGGGCCTTATATGATAACTCACGGTTTTATGGGCCAAAAGTGTCATTTGTCATAAAAATGGGCTTTATTTGACAACTCACAGTTTTATGGGCCAAAAGTGTTATTTTTCATAAAAATGGGCTTAATTTGACAACTCACGGTTTTATGGGCCAAAATTGTCATTTTTCATAAAAATGGGCCTTATATGACAACTCACGGTTTTATTGGCCAAAAGTGTCATTTTTCATAAAAATTGGCTTTATTTGACAATTCACGGTTTGATTGGGCCTAAAATGTCAATGTGATATAAATTGGCTTTTATTGTCATTTTTGTTATTATTGGGCCAATCATGCACATTTTAGTAAGGTTTGGGCCTTAAAGTCAAACGCATACAAATAGGGCTTCATGTGCCAGTTTTATTCTAATCGGGCCATGTTTGATAATTATATACTAATTGGGCCACTTATGATAAACTTTTTGTTAAGTGGGCCCGTTAGTGAAAATTCTAATACACCCAAATGATTCA